TGAGACCTAGCTGTCTGACAATTTCTCTTGAGACCTATCAGTCTCTGTTCATTGAAACTCGGCCTATTTGATCCTTGGATTGAAGGCCTCTTTGTTACTGTCTCAAGAGACAGACTGCTAGACACTCTCTTTCCCTTGAGACCTGCTTCTTCCGTCTCTCCCGTCTCTGGAGACCAGTGTCCCCCGCTCCTTTGATCGACAGCATGTCCGTCTCTTTCCCTTGAGACCTGCTTCTTCCGTCTCTCCCGTCTCTGGAGACCAGTGTCCCCCGCTCCTTTGATCAGCAGCATGTCCGTCTCTTTCCCTTGAGACCTGCTTCTCCCGTCTCTCCCGTCTCTCCCGTCTCTGGAGACCAGTGTCCCCCGCTCCTTTGATCGGCAGCATGTCCGTCTCTTTCCCTTGAGACCTGCTTCTTCCGTCTCTCCCGTCTCTGGAGACCAGTGTCCCCCGCTCCTTTGATCAGCAGCATGTCCGTCTCTTTCCCTTGAGACCTGCTTCTCCCGTCTCTCCCGTCTCTGGAGACCAGTGTCCCCCGCTCCTTTGATCAGCAGCATGTCCGTCTCTTTCCCTTGAGCCCTGCTTCGCCCGTCTCTCCCGTCTCTCCCGTCTCTGGAGACCAGTATCCCCCGCTCCTTTGATCGGCAGCATGTCCGTCTCTTTCCCTTGAGACCTGCTACTTCCGTCTCTCCCGTCTCTGGAGACCAGTGTCCCCGCTCCTTTGATCGGCCGCTCGTCCGTCTCTATTCTCAAAGTCCTTCTTGCCGTCTCTGTTCCTTGAAACCTGGTTTGCTGGATCCTTTGAGCGAAGCTCTTTCTGTCTCCGTCTCAATAGACGAGGGTTGCCCGCTCCTTTGATCGACAGCACGTCCGTCTCTATCCACAAAGTCCTTCTTGCCGTCTCTGTTCCTTGAAACCTGGTTTGCTGGATCCTTTGAGAGAAGCTCTTTCTGTCTCCGTCTCAATAGACGAGGGTTGCCCGCTCCTTTGATCGGCAGCACGTCCGTCTCTATCCACAAAGTCCTTCTTGCCGTCTCTGTTCCTTGAAACCTGGTTTGCTGGATCCTTTGAGCGAAGCTCTTTCTGTCTCCGTCTCAATAGACGAGGGTTGCCCGCTCCTTTGATCGGCAGCACGTCCGTCTCTATCCACAAAGTCCTTCTTGCCGTCTCTGTTCCTTGAAACCTGGTTTGCTGGATCCTTTGAGCGAAGCTCTTTCTGTCTCCGTCTCAATAGACGAGGGTTGCCCGCTCCTTTGATCGGCCGCTCGTCCGTCTCTATTCTCAAAGTCCTTCTTGCCGTCTCTGTTCCATGAAACCTGGTTTGTTGGATCCTTTGAGCGAAGCTCTTTCTGTCTCCGTCTCAATAGACGAGGGTTGCCCGCTCCTTTGATCGGCAGCACGTCCGTCTCTATCCACAAAGTCCTTCTTGCCGTCTCTGTGCCTTGAAACCTGGTTTGCTGGATCCTTTGAGCGAAGCTCTTTCTGTCTCCGTCTCAATAGACGAGGGTTGCCCGCTCCTTTGATCGACAGCACGTCCGTCTCTATCCACAAAGTCCTTCTTGCCGTCTCTGTTCCTTGAAACTTGGTTTGCTGGATCCTTTGAGAGAAGCTCTTTCTGTCTCCGTCTCAATAGACGAGGGTTGCCCGCTCCTTTGATCGGCAGCACGTCCGTCTCTATCCACAAAGTCCTTCTTGCCGTCTCTGTTCCTTGAAACCTGGTTTGCTGGATCCTTTGAGCGAAGCTTTTTCTGTCTCCGTCTCAATAGACGAGGGTTGCCCGCTCCTTTGATCGGCCGCTCGTCCGTCTCTATTCTCAAAGTCCTTCTTGCCGTCTCTGTTCCATGAAACCTGGTTTGTTGGATCCTTTGAGCGAAGCGCTTTCTGTCTCCGTCTCAATAGACGAGGGTTGCCCGCTCCTTTGATCGGCAGCACGTCCGTCTCTATCCTCAAACATTGCCTTTGTGATTCGCTTGTTCATAAATGTGTTGACTGATTGAGGTTGTTGGTGTCATTGTATCGTATGTCCGATGGTTCGCTTGTTAGATAGATGACAGACTCACGTGTTTGTTTTTATTTTCACTTGTTTGTTGCCTGTGCGATTCGGTTGTTTGTTTCATAAGGTCTTGATTGATAGAAGTCTTCGGATGTGTCCTCGGATGTCATGTCTGATCATTCGCTTGATAATCAGATGGATAGATGAATAACTCACTTGTTTGTATTCCCTTCTACTCGATTGTTGTTTGTGTGAGTCGCTTGTTTCATCAAGGTCTTGTTTGATAGATCTCCTGGGTGCTTTTGCATCTCATGTCCGGTGATTCGCTTGCTATCTAGATTAATAGCTAACTAACTTATTTCTCTTCTCTTCTACTTGATGCTCCTATTTGATTGTTATGTCCGATGATTAGCCTTTCAGATAGATAGTCATGATAGATAGATAGTCATGATAGACAGATAGTCATGATAGATGGATAGTCATGATAGATGGATAGTCATGATAGATGGA